AAAAAAAAAAAAAAAAAAAAAAAAAAAAAAAAAAAAAAAAAAAAAAAAAAAAACCGTGACCCATAAAAATCCTTACATACCCTCGTGAAACCTCAGGGGGTCCACGGACGCAGCTGCGTCATGACACCGCAAGTCCGAAGAAAAAAAAAAAATGTCGCGACAACGAGCGTAGACCAAAGTCCAATACCATACGAAAGCGAGAGTACATACAAAGATACTTCATGCATGCAGGCAATATAGTACGAAATATTATACACACGCACACGCGAGATACAGGCAGGACAAAAGGATACACTCCGCGGGCAAAGAGAGCGCAATCGCGACTTGTTCTGTGCTATATACAGCACAAAATATGAACCTTATATAAACATGTATACACAGCGTACGCTAAACATAAAGAGAATGAAGAAAGAGGAGTGTGTTGGGGGAGGGGGCGAAACTTACGACTGTTAAGTCCACCGAACGCGCGTTTTCTTTATAGGTGTGTACCAATATAAGTACCGAGCCTTTCTCAAAAGATACGAGTCGCCCTCGAGAGTCAACCAAAAGAGTCGCTGCTAGCCATCCTACTGTGCGTGTACTCGTATATACAACAACTGTATGTTATGTGCTCAACATTAGCCATGCGTATAAATGTATAGGTGTTGTACCTACCTGTGGATACACAGAGGGATACGAGGAGGGATATGTATAGGCTGTACTAAGTATATAATTATATCCTTGCAAAGAAAAGCAATCGCGTAAGGGCGTATAACTTGTACATGTTTTGATAGGCACGATCTATCGTATATCTTTCTCTTCAATTTTTCCAACTAGAAATCGGTATGCCGAACATTTTCACCACGTGGTGTAATTGTAAGGCGACGCGACCTTTCGTCTCTCTCTCTCTCTCTCTCTTTTATTTAAAAAACGCCGACACTCGACTTAATAATATATACAACAAAGCTTCAATGATATATATAGATACCATGCACGCACACGTAGCAGAGCCCCTTACCGATCACCTATAATACACAGCGAAAAGAAAGCACAGATCGAGATGTAAAAAAAAAGGGTCGTTTCCCCGTCACACCCCGCAGACGCGCTCCTCTTTGCCGCATTCTCCGCATCTGTATGCATATACAGGAGCTGAGTCACAATAGGAATGGATCGGCACGTATAGGGCGTGAAAAATCGTCGACACACGATAAGACGCACGCACGCGACAGCTAGTCCACCGTCACGTGTATGTATATTGCACTCTCGGAGTGCGTAGGCTTTTCGAGCAGCTCGAGCACGCGATGTATATATATATATACATATACCCAGGTATGTTGTACAATGCGCGGAGGGAAAGTCCGTGGCTCGCGGATCGGTATATCTATACCCAATATACAAGCGCGGCTAAGGAACACAGGAGGCTGAAGCACTGAAAGAGAGAAAAGGTCAGATCTTTGAGCGCCATACGTATATTATACATGTATACACATAAAAACAACAACAACAACAACAACGGCACAGTGTACAAATATCAGCGGTAGCGCCTTGGTATGTCCATTCTGTTTTTCTCGATACCTATTCCGTACCCGCGAAGCGTGTGTGTGTGTGCATATACGCACGATTGCCCTACCGATCTCTCCCGGCGATACGTACTACGTGTGTATGTAGGTACTGCAGGTATTTGTCTTTTGTAAGGTACTCTCCTTATTTTAATGCGCCACTGCCGTGCCTGTACCTACGTATATTGTATGTATAACGTACTGCAAGTATATATATTATACATCTGCACACGGGAGGGACTTTCGTAAGAGCGGTGTCTTTTTTATCTCTCTCTCTCTCTCTGTGTTCTCGATGGCGAGGGCGAAATACCGTCGAGCTAGCCGATCGCGCGCGTGTGGGTACATATATACATATCCCCTGCGGGACGCGGCGTCGAGTTGAGCGCGGATCGTTTTAACGCCGCGTTGGCTCGAGAATTCGATTTATACGTATATAAAGTATAGCAACTAATGGGGGAGGCGTTAAGTTGCCGAGCGGCGATTGCGCGACTTTTATGAGCCGACTTTTGACTCGTTTGCCCGGTTGCTCGATGTCTATGGTCTTTTTTCTTTCTTTTTTCTTTTTTTTTTTTTTTTTTTTTTTTTGTTGGTCGTCTTTTCGTTTAATGCGCGCTGAGTTGGGAAACGGTGTGGAAAAATGTTTATTGATGTGGATACTATTGAGAAGGATTGATTCCGTCGGGGTTTGATACGGCAATGACTGCACACAGTTTTGGGTTTAATTGGGAAATGTTGCAGTGACGCGTCTGTGGACTGACCGAAAAGTTAGAAATGCCGTTTTGTTTTTATTTTCTCTTAAATTTTTTGCCTTGTCGAATGTTTCCGTCGCGATGCTGCTCGAATGACAAGTGTGCTGGGTATTTTTTGAATTTTTTGTTTTGAGAAATTTGCGCGGTCATTGAAGCATATGTCAACATTCGATGAAGTAAAAACGCTCAAAGCGAACTTATAGTGAAAAAAAGGCGTGCTCTTACTCGCATTGAAACATTTGGACAATCAAATATAAATTATGGCAAAACAACAACGGTATTTACAAAACATGACCGTACATCGTGCAACAAGGGTACAAAACCGGTGATTTTTGCAAGAGAGTAATTACTTGCACGACATAATGTCGCACGAGTGCTAGTATAAACCTTTTTCTACATTCAATGACAAATAATTTCTCAACTTAAGGTGCTTGTTTCTTGTGTCATTACTGCTCGGGAAGTCAAACTTCGCTTATATAAACACACGAAAATTTTTACATCAAGTATAACAAGACTTTGTACGTAAAGTTAAATTTGGCCCACAAACACGCGTTAAGTTAAACTTTATTCTTGTACCCTAAAACTTGCACATGATATTAAACTCCACATACCCAAACTAGATACCGTACGTGAAGTTAAACTTCGCGTCTACATATTATGTACTTGAAGTTGAACTTACACACACACACACACACACACACACACACAAACGGGAAGTTAAATGACGCTTGTACGTGCACGAGAAATTGAACTTCGTTTACATGTGTACGAGAAGTTTAACTTGACTTGCGGAGGATTAGGAAAGAAAAAGAAAAGGACGACCCGAATACACATGTACAATATTTGATCCGGCATAATCACACAAATCGAGTAATTCACGTGCAACGTGTTTATTTGCTCCATAGAAGTGCGCCAGGAGGCAGTACAGCAGGCCCTGGCGGCGATGCAGGGCCGGCCGAAGCCCTCGCTGCCGATGCCGTCGAAGCGGACCTCGGTGATGGCCCGCAGCCCCGAGCGGCCGGAGCGCACGAGCTCGAATTGCACGACGACAAACGCCGCCGGGGAGTCGAGCAGCGACGAGGACAGCGTAGTCACGGAGGAGAGTCCCGGGGCCGGCGGACCCACCGGCACCGGGCTCTCGGACACCAGCAGCACGGGCTCGGCCCGCGACACCCCACCACCCCCCAGGCCACCGGCGCGCCGGCCACCCGCCGACATAACCGACATAGCCGAGTACACGCCCCACGCCTACTGCAACCTCGTACAGCCACCCGATGTCACGCACACGTCACGGAGACCAGCTGGTGAGTCATGTCAACCTACTTATTTCTCCATTCCTCTATACACACTTATCCATCCATTGGCTAGTCCGCTATGTTTAAGAATATCTTGGTTAATCGAATCCAAGAATAAGAACTCTAGTGCAATCGACGACCCATCTGATGGAATCGATTACGTCGAATACTCATTAAATTGATTGTATTTATAACATTATGTATAATATATGCAGCAGTCAAGGTGGTTCAATAATAAATTACAATGTCCTAGATCGTGATCAAACTTACGAGGGAAATTTGAAAGATTGACATTTTGTTTGAAAGTATTGCTATTAGCTTGAGAACTATATCACGCAATGAAAAAAAAAAAAAAAAATCCTATACTCAACGTTAAAAAAACAAAGGGGCACAGCAAGTTAATCGCCTTGAAAAATGGTGGGTTCACAGGTGCAGACCGAGTGAACAGGTACCACGTGGTGGAGGACAACAACACGGGGACGACGGGTCGCTGGAAGGTCTCGGCGAAGATACAGCAGCTGTTGAACACCCTCAAACGGCCTAAGCGCCGACCATTGCCCGAATTCTACGAGGACGACGACATCGAGCTCGAAATAGCTGCCAATCCCAAGGATCCAAACGCCCCGAAGCCCGAGGGTGGCACGATGACGCCCGCGGTCGGCGAGTCGATGTCCGTACCCTCGGGATTACCGCGATCGCTCGAGTGCGCCATTCAGAGGTGGGTTTTACCAGTGTTTTGAGTATACAAGTACTCATGGTCAAGCAGAATAATTCACCTTTCCGACCAAATGCTTATTCATTCTTTTTTGTTTGTTTTAAGTTTCATCAATGTCAATTTTACCATTTTATTTTTGATCTAAAGTAATGGATGAAACCCCAAATGAGGGTTACCCTAAAAAATAATATCGGTAACATAGATTTCTATCCCTTGGTAGTAAAATACATCACGATTTAACGTACGCATGAATCTTTACGATCCTCCAGGTACGGCTCGGCATCGTATAAGGCTCCCGCGGCTACGGTCCTCGACCCTAACGGCAAGCTCTGCGTGACCCTGACCTACGGCAAGCTCCTGAGCCGCTCGTACAAGATAGCCTACACGCTGCTGAACAAGGCCCTAAGCCGCGTCGTTGGCGAGTGCTGCCTGAAACCCGGGGACCGCATAGCCCTGGTCTACCCGAACGACGACCCCATAAACTTTGTTTGCGCGTTCTACGGCTGCCTGCACGCGGGCATAGTCCCCGTGCCGATCGAGGTACCCCTGACCCGGCGCGACGCCGGCTCCCAACAGATCGGCTTTCTACTGGGCAGCTGTGGCATCCAGGTGGCCCTCACGAGCGAGGCGTGCCTGAAAAATCTCCCCAAGACGAGCGCCGGCGAGGTGGTGGCGTTCAAGGGCTGGCCCAAGCTGCACTGGTTCGTCACCGAGCACCTCGCCAAAACGCCCAAGGAGTGGATACCACCCACCAGACTGACCGACGACACCCCGGCCTACATCGAGTACACGACCGACAGGGACGGCTCGGTCATGGGGGTGACGGTCACCCGGGCGGCCATGCTGGCCCACTGTCGGGCCCTGGCCCAGGCGTGTGGCTACACCGAGGGCGAGAACATGGTCTGCGTGCTCGACTTCAAGCGCGAGGTCGGGCTTTGGCACAGCACCCTCACGAGCATCCTCAACGGGATGCACGTCATCTTCATACCGTACGCCCTGATGAAGGTCAACCCGGCCAGTTGGATGCAGATGATAACGAAGCACCGGGCCAGCGTGGCCGTGGTCAAGTCGCGGGATCTCCACTGGGGCCTACTGGCCACCAAGGACCACAAGGACATATCTCTGTCGACCCTCCGGCTGCTCCTCGTGGCGGACGGGGCGAATCCCTGGTCCCTGTCCTCCTGCGACCAGTTCCTCTCGGTCTTCCAGCCCAAGGGCCTGAGGCCCGACGCCGTCTGCCCGTGTGCTTCGTCGAGCGAGGCTCTCACCGTGTCCGTGAGGCGGCCTGGCCGGGCTGGGGTCAACGCCACGGGCCGCGGGGTGCTGAGCATGTCCGGCTTGAGCTTTGGCGTCGTCAGGGTCGACCAGGAGAACTCCCTGACCTCGCTCACCCTCCAGGACTGCGGCCAAGTCATGCCTGGAAGTGAGTGCGCCAACACACCAACGTTCTTTCCCCCCGTATCCGCCTGTACCATCGGCTGTAATTGATTACCCCCCCCCCCCCCGTTTGGTTGATCGTGCAGGTATCGTGACCGTCATCAAGATGGAGGGTCCACCGTTGGTCTGCAAGACGGACGAAGTAGGCGAGATCTGCGTCCACAGTCCTGCCACGGCCAGCCAGTACTGGGGACTCCAGGGCATGACCAACAACAACTTCAAGGTGATACCCCAGCAGACGGAGGGCCAGCCCCTCGGGGACGTCGAGTACACGCGCTCGGGTCTCTTGGGCTTCCTTGGGCCGGGCAACCTGGTCTTCGTGTGCGGCTCCCGCGACGGCCTCATGACCGTCACCGGCCGGAAGCACAACGCCGACGACATCATCGCCACGGTACTGGCCGTCGAGCCCATGAAGTTCATCTACAGGGGCCGAATCGCGGTGTTCAGCGTTAGGGTCCTCAGAGACGAGAGGATATGCGTAGTGGCCGAACAACGGCCCGACTGCAGCGAGGAGGAGGTAAGCACGCCGGCCGTTATTGCTATATAAAGTTTGATCGTTTATCTCGTTTCTCACCGTTGTTTGATGCGCGGGTGCAGAGTTTTCAGTGGATGTCGCGAGTCCTGCAAGCCGTCGACTCGATCCACGCGGTCGGTATCTACTGTTTGGCCCTCGTGCCACCCAACTACCTGCCAAAAACACCCCTGGGCGGCATACACCTGTCCGAGACGAAGAGGCGCTTCCTCGAGGGCACGCTCCACCCGGCCAACGTGCTCCTCTGTCCGCACACTTGCGTCACGAATCTGCCAAAGCCACGTGAGATTCATTCGGGTAAGTCGACCAACGCTAAAGCTCAAAACAAGATGTAAATTAATGCACCCGTGTGACTCTCTTTTATTGTAATTTTTTACTATACATATATTGTACTGTTTTTTTACCTTCGTTTACCTGTTCACGATGACAAGTACATTGTATGTGCATTGCATACGTATGTATGAAACGCTGATGCGCGCTTTTTTGGGCATTTCGTTGTGGCGTTCGCGGTACGTTTTGGGCCCTTAATTTTTGAGCGATTCAATGTTTCTTAGTGATAGACTAGTGGTTCCTTAGTTTTGAGGGAAACTTGTCGAATAAACGCTTTGGTTTTCACTTAAACAAATAGTTGACAGTGTACTGAAAGACAAGTTTTTTTTTGTTATACATACGATATTTTTGTCGAATCATTGTCAATCGCGAAAACTTGTCTTCCAAGGGCACGAACATCGTTTTAGACGATTGTACATTAGATCTTAGTTTATAATCGAAAATTAAGGATTCAAACCCGATGGCGATCGCAGATTCGCCGAAAACCGTGCATCAGCGCTTAGAACTTGAGTGACACGAGAGTTTTTGATGGACCGAAAAATAGAGAGCAGAGACCCTTTTTGAAATTAAATTCAAAATTCAATCCAATCGAGACGATCAGGTATACCTTTACTCTCACGACCAACGCAAGATCGACCATTATTTTCATTTTTCTTTGTTCTCTTTGCTTGCTCGTATCTCAACTATCTATCTTCTTCAAAATTAGCCTTAGATGGTGTGTTTTATTTGAATGCATTTTTTTTTTTTTTTTTTATTTCAAAAACTCCGTTTTTTGGTGAACCTCTCTTTCTTTTGGCTGAGTTTCACGGTAAACCTCGAGTCTTTGTTGTAAATCGACGACCACTATCGACACCCGTGCACTTATTTTTCTCCCTTCCCCCTTTATTTAAAAAAAACACCCCCCCCCCCTTGTTTTTGTTTGAAAAAACAAATGACACATTGATCTTTAAATTGCAAGTAAAAAAATGTGTGCCCTTGACACAATTTACCTTTTTTTAAACCCCTTTTTTGTACGACTGAACCAAAAAGACAAGTAAAATTACACCAACTTACGAAGCAATACGATAATACGGGGGCTGGGGGGTGCATCGTGGAGCACAACGAAACAAAAAAAAAAAAAAAGGTCGAATTCGCCGCTGGAACAAAGAGTCGTTGGCCTCAGTCAGGGGAGAGTCTGGTGTACCACGACTACTGCTCTTCTATTGCAATGATTTGAAACGCAAAGAAAAAAAAAAAAAAAAGAAAGAAAGAAAAGGAAAAAAAAAAAGAAAGTAGAATTTTGAGCGTTTGCGTTGGTTAAAATTAACGTGATGTACGCGGGGGCGTCTAGCGGGGGATTCCGTTACAGATGTCGGACCGGCGAGCGTCATGGTCGGCAACATCGTCCAGGGCAACCGGCTGGCCTCCGCCCAGGGCAGGGATATCGGGGTACTCGACGAAGACAGCGACAGCGCGAAAAAGGTGAGTTAAAAGGGTCGCACGAAGAAGCAATCATCAGACAAAGCGAAATGAACGCCGTGTTTCCGCAGTACCAGTTCATCTCGGAGATACTGCGGTGGCGAGCCGTGGGCACCTCGGACCACGTGATCTTCACTGCGCTGAACTCGAAGGGCGCGGTGGCGTCGTCGCTGTCGTGCTCGCAGCTCCACAAGAAGGCCGAGCGCATCGGCAACCTGTTGCTCGATCGCGGCAGGATCAACACGAGCGACCACGTGGCCCTGCTCTTCCCACCCGGCACCGACCTCATATGCGCCTTCTACGGCTGCCTCTACGTCGGCGCCGTTCCCGTCACCATCCGACCACCCCATCCGCAGAACTTGCAGACCACCCTGCCCACCGTGCGCATGATCGTCGACGTCAGCAAGTCCGTACTCATTCTCACGAACCAGAGTATCCTCAAGTTGCTCAAGTCTAAGGTAATGGGCCCTTCCATTTTACTATTTGATCTCTCATCCGGTCCAAAGGTTTCATTCGCTCTTTTTTTTTTTTTTTTCCTCCCTTTGGTCCTGCGCAGGAAGCAAACAACGCGGTCGAGGTCAAGAGTTGGCCGACGATCCTCGACATGGACGACATGCCAAAGAAGAAACTGCCGGTGCTGTATCGCGCCCCCACGGCCGAGATGCTGGCTTACTTGGACTTTAGCGTCTCGACGACCGGCATGCTCGCCGGCATCAAGATGTCCCACGCGGCCGTCACCTCCCTGTGCCGGTCCATGAAGCTCGCCTGCGAGCTCTACCCCTCGAGGCACATAGCGCTCTGCCTCGACCCCTACTCGGGTCTTGGTTTCGCGCTTTGGTGTCTCAGCAGCATATACAGCGGCCACCACTCCATACTCATACCACCTTCCGAGGTGAGAAGAGCTACATTGAGATTGTTTTATTTTTTACTCAAACTTTTTTTTTTTTTTTTCTTCTTCTTCGCCACCAGGTGGAGGCCAATCCGGCCTTGTGGCTGTCGGCTGTCAGTCATTCCAGGGTCAGAGATACGTTTTGCTCCTACGGTGTGATGGAGCTTTGCACAAAGGGCCTCGGCTCCTCGGTGCAGACGCTCAAGGCACGAGGCGTCAGTCTGGCCTGCGTGAGGACTTGCGTCGTCGTGGCCGAGGAGAGGCCGAGGATAGCACTGACGACGAGTTTCAGCAAACTCTTTTCCGCCCTTGGCCTGAGCCCCCGAGCCGTGTCCACCTCGTTTGGATGTCGAGTGAACACCGCCATATGCCTGCAGGGCGCCTCGAGTCCGGAACCCTCGACGGTCTATGTCGACTTGCGCGCCCTGCGCAACGACCGGGTATCCCTAGTCGAGCGTGGCTCACCTCACTCGCTTTGCCTGATGGAGTCCGGCAAACTCCTTCCCGGTGTCAAGGTCATTATCGCCAATCCCGAGACGAAGGGCCAGTGCGGTGACTCGCACCTCGGCGAGATTTGGGTCCAGTCGCCCCACAACGCCAGTGGCTACTTCACCATCTACGGCGACGAGAGCGACTACGCCGATCACTTTAACGCTCGGCTCGTCACTGGCAATACCGGCGAGGTGTACGCGCGCACCGGCTACCTGGGCTTCCTCAGGCGCACCGAGGCCGTGCAGCAGAGCTCCGGGGGACCGGAGATTCCCGGGGACAACAGCTCGGTGTCCGAGGTTGACGTGGCACCGGGTGATTCCGAGCTGCACGACGCTGTGTTTGTCGTCGGCGCCCTGGACGAGGCGATTCTGTTGCGGGGCATGAGGTACCACCCCATCGACATTGAGAACAGCGTCATGAGATGCCACAAGAAAATCGCCGAATGGTAAGTTTTGCCTTTACCCTACCGTAAGCTCATTGTTACAATACAATGTGTGGGTTACACTTTTTTTTGTTTTGTGCTTACAGTGCTGTGTTCACGTGGACGAATTTACTCGTCGTCGTGGTGGAGCTGGATGGCAGCGAAAGCGAGGCGCTAGATCTCGTCGCCTTGGTAACCAGTGCCGTGCTCGAGGAGCATCACCTTGTCGTCGGGGTCGTCGTAGTCGTCGATCCGGGCGTCGTACCCATTAATTCGCGTGGCGAGAAGCAGCGCATGCACCTGCGCGACGGCTTCCTCGCGGATCAACTCGATCCCATCTACGTTGCGTACAACATGTAAACATCGTATTATAGGGATGTATTTGTTGTACCATCCGATGCGTTTTTCATCCCCTCAATGATGACTAGCTTGCATCACGTTTCGTCGATTGACCTGAGCTTTTTGTGCGTTCTTTTGGAGTAGACGCTCCAGATTTTGGGGGGGGGACGAAAAGAAGTCGAGTTTTCAGACAAGTTATGTTACTTTGTTGTTAGGTTTCTGTCTTTTTGTTTGTGCCGAAAATTCGTTTACGGAATAAACCAACCGTTGGGTACATAAACAAGCGAATTCAATGAAGCACCAGTTCTGCTGCACTAGTTTTTTTTTTGTTTGTAAACTCAACTATGCCGTTTAATATATTTTTTTTTGTTTGTTTGTTTGAAAAAACACTTTTTTTACCACCAACTCTGTGATGAGATGAAGCAAGTAGTTAAATTTGTAAAAGGTATCTATATAATATATCAAATGGCGATAAAATACACAAATTTTACAGTTTATGCATTTTTTATAATAGTGCAGAAATTTTGCGAATAATTAGTGATAGAATGAACCTAAAGAGCTTACACTGCAGATGGTAATTGTAAAGTTTGTAGCGAAACGACTGCGCACGTAATTTTTTTGTTATTACGATAGAAAACTATAATGCTTTAGGTATTATGCTATCTCAATTATTAAATTAAAAAAAAATAATAACGGGGTTTTTCTTAAATTTTCTCAATAATACTTATGACTGCAGAATTTACACATTACATACATCGATTCGCACACTTGGATTAGTTGTCCATTTTAAGAACAAGACAGTGATAATTTTGTAACGTGTCATTAACGACCTATTATATATTGTAATCCACCGTTTTATACTAATAAACGATCAAAACAACGGGATGTCAATTTTTCGTTCATACGCCAAATGGACTTGCATATGACTGTTTCTGTTTTTGATAAAGTGTACATTTGTTGATACGTTTATAATTTTATAAGCCTACTTTATTTTTGTAAAAAGTACAGTGTAATGGGAGCAAAAGGCACTGATGTTGCAGTGACAAGCAGCTTTTACCCCACCATCTTTTTTTATGTAATTGTACTGCAATTTCCTATTTTTTTTTTTTTTTTTTTCTCTGCTGAAGTAATTATCGTATAACAGTTAGTAATAAAGCAAACAATGATAGCAGCTAGAACCTTTGTACATAAATATGATAACGCTGATAAGCTGTAAGTAAATAATGGACTAATAGGACCTTTCTTTTTTATTTTGTACTTTTGCGGAACCGTGCCATCACGTTTACATGTATGTATATCTATTTGTATATTTTACCACGCGTATAGTACTGTCACATTTTTATGTTAAACTCGAAGCGCCGATTAACTAACCCGTAGGTATGTATGCGAGTGTTGTCAAAGACGTCCTAAAAGTATAATAAACCACTATCTTTGGGTCAGGTATGAGCAAATAATAAAGTCTCTTGTAAGGAAATGTCAAATGAAATATTTTAATAACTGAAATAACAATGAAAAATAATAAACATTTTGGACGTGAAGGACAAATTTTTTTAATACTCGAAAAAAATAAGCGACGAAAGTGAATTTGTAATACATATACGCGATACCCAACTATTTATATAAAAAGCAGTAAATTTTCTATTGTATACACATTAGCTCTTAAAGGCAGTTGGTAATAATTATACAAAGTCATTCGCAATTTTTTCGAATTTTCAAAGAGCCGTGTCCACCTCGTTTGGAT